AACCAGACTTTTAACAACCTTTTACAACTGTCTATAAAAGCATGGCAACAATACCAATTCCGTAGGTATTGTGAGGACCAATTCTAAGATGTTAGTTAATGAGTCCAGTAAAAGTTTTTTCTTTAAAAATTACTTATATGGGGTGGCTGGTGGCTCATTGGTTAAGTGTCTGCCTTTGGCTCAGATTGCAATCCCCAAGTCTTGGGATCGAGCCCCTCTTGGGTTCCCTGCTCAGTGGGGAGCCTGCTTCTCCCTCTCCTTCTGCAGCTCTCCCTGCTTGTGCTCTCTCTCTCTCTCTCTCTCCCTGTCAAATAAATAAATAAAATATTCTTAAAATTTTTTAAATAAAATAAATTAAAAAATAAAAATTACCTATATGTTCCCTTTAAAAAAATTAAGCCAACTTTAATTTCTAAAATGTAAGCCATTTTTTAGAGTTTATGTTTTAGTAATCTCTACACCCAACGTGGGGCTCAAGCTCACGACCCCAAGATCAAGTGTCGCGTGCTCCACTGACTGAGCCAGCTGGATGCTCCTAAAAGTTAAGTCATTTTTAATAAAGTTATACATGGGGATCCCTGGGTGGCTCAGCAGTTTAGCGCCTGCCTTTGGCCCAGGGCTGATCCTGGAGTCTCAGGATCCAGTCCCCCATCGGGCTCCCTGCATGGAGCCTGCTTCTCCCTCTGCCTGTGTCTCTGCCCCTTTCTCCTTTTGTGTCTCTCATGAATAAATAAATAAAATCTTTAAAAAAAATGAAGTTATACATGTTGTATTCTAAAAAGAGACTCTTAACATATCCCCATCTACCATATCATTTATAATAAAAAGAAAATAAAGCATTCTAGCTATATGAAGTAGATAAAGTTGCAAAACTGTACAATGTAAACTTGAAGTGATACAATATCATCAGTAATTCTTTCAAAGAAGGCAACAGAATTCCATTTATAATGCCATCCAAAAGATGGGGCACCTGGGTGGCTCCGTGGTTGAGCATCTACCTTTGGCTCAGGGAGTGATCCCAGGGTTGCTGGGATTGAGTCCCGCATCAGGCTCCCTACAGGGAGCCTGCTTCTCCCTCTGCCTATGTCTCTGTCTCTCTCTCTGTGTCTTTTGTGAATAAATAAAATCTTTTTTAAAAGTACCATCAAGGGCAGCCCTGGTGGCGCAGCGGTTTAGTGCCGCCTACAGCCTAGGGTGTGATCCTGGAGACCCTGGATCGAGTCCCACGTCGGGCTTCCTGCATGGAGCCTGCTTCTCCCTCTGCCTGTGTCTCTGCCTCTCTCTCTCTGTCTCTATGAATAAATAAATAAAGAAAAATCTTTAAAAAAAAAAAGGTACCATCAAAAAGAGGGGCACCTCAGTGGCTCAGTTGATTAAGCATCTGCCTTCAGCTCAGGTCATGATCCCAGGTCCTGGGATTGAGCCTTGCGTGGGCTCCCTGCTCAGTGGGGAGTCTACTTCTCCCTCTCACTCTGACTCACTGCTCAGTCTGTCTCTCTCACTCTCTCTCTCTCTCTCTCTCTCAAATAGAAATATTTTAAAAAATCATCAAAAAGAGGGGATCCCTGGGTGGCGCAGCGGTTTGGCGCCTGCCTTTGGCCCAGGGCGCGATCCTGGAGACCCGGGATCGAATCCCATGTCGGGCTCCCGGTGCATGGAGCCTGCTTCTCCCTCTGCCTGTGTCTCTGCCTCTCTCTCTCTGTGTGTGTGTGTGACTATCATAAATAAATAAAAATTAAAAAATAAAAATAAAAAATCATCAAAAAGAATAAAATACTTAGGAACAAATTTAACCAGGGAGGCAAAAGACTTACTGAAAACTACTAAATGTTGCTGAAGAAAAATTTAAAAGACACAAATAAATAGAAAGTCATCCCTTGTTTATGGATTGTAAGATTTAATATTGTTAAAATGTCAGTACCACCCAAAGCAATCTATGGATTCAGTGTGATTTCTATCAAAATCCCAAAGGCATTTTTTGTGGAAATAGAAAAATCCATCGCAAAATGCATATGGAACCACAAGAGATCTCAAATAGTGAAAACAATCTTGAAAGAGAAGAACAAAGTTGGAGGTCTCACACTTCCTGATTTCAAAACTTATTACAAAACTACAGTAATCAGAATAGTGTGGGATTATCATAGAGATAGACACATAGACCAAGGTGACAGAGTAGAGAGCCCAGAAATAGACTCAGGTAAAAATGGCCAAATGATCTTAAACAAGGGTACCAAGACCATTCAGTGGGGAAATGGCAGTCTTTTCAACAAATGATGTTGGGCAAACTGGACATCCACATGCAAAAGAATGAGGTTGAACCTGTACTTTATACCATCTGCAAAAATTAACTCAAAGTTTATCTTAATTCCAAGTAAAAGCTAAAACTATAAAGCTCTTAAAGAAAACTTAGGAGGAAAGCTTCATGACGCTGGAATTGACAATGATTTCTTAGATTGGAAACCAAAAATATAGGCAACTGGGGGAAAAGTAGTTAAATTGGAGTATAACAAAAGTCAAAATTTTGCTGCATCCAAGGACATGACCAACAGTGAAAAGTATATAAAGAACTAATTCAACAACACAACAAAAAAAAAAAAGCCCCAAATGACTGGTTAAAATGGGCAAAGGACTTGAATGGAGAGTCCTCTACAGATACACAGATGGCCAACAGGCACATGAAAGGAAGCTCGACATCGCTCATCATCAGGGAAATGCAAATCAAAACCACAATGAGATGCCACCTCGTGCCCATTAAGATGGATGCTATCAAAAACAAAACAAAAAACCAGTGTTGGTGAGGATGTGGAGAAATTGGAATCATTGTGCCCTGCTAGTGGGAATGTAAACTGGTGTGGCTGCTCTGGAAAACAGCATGGAGGCCCCTCAGAAACTTAAAAATAGAACTACTGGGGGATCCCTGGGTGGCGCGGCGGTTTGGCTCCTGCCTTTGGCCCAGGGCGCGATCCTGGAGACCCGGGATTGAATCCCACGTCGGGCTCCCGGTGCATGGAGCCTGCTTCTCCCTCTGCCTGTGTCTCTGCCTCTCCGCCTCTCTCTCTGTGACTATCATAAATAAGAAAAAAAAAATAGAACTACTGTATCATCCAGCAATTCCACTTCTGGGTATATACCCAAGAGAAGTGAAGGCCGAACCTTGAAGAGATCTTCATTTCCCCATGTTCACAGCAGCATTATTCACAGCAGCCAAAAGGTAGAAGCCATCCAAGTTCCACCCCCAGATGAGCAGGAAAACAAAATGCACTATAAACATACAATGAATTATTACTCAGCCTTAAAAAGGAGGGAAATTATGATCCATGCTGTGGCGTGAATGAACCTTGAGGCCGTTATGCTAAGTAATGTTAACCAGTCACGTGAAAACACTGTCTCATTCCCAGAGGAGCTACCTAGAGAAGTCAGATCATAGAAGGAGAAAGCAGAGTGGTGGCTGCCAGGGGCTGGCAGGAGAGAACGGGGGGGGGGGGGGTGTCAGTGTTTATGGAGACAGAGTTTCAGTTCTGCATGATGCGTCCTGGAGACGGACGGTGGTGACGGTTGCCCAACAATGTGAACGTACTTCACACTACTGGGTGTGCACTTGAACATGGTTGAGATGCTAAATTTGATGTGTGTTTTATCACCATTTAAAGCGGGAGTGTAATTCAATTTAAAAATGAAGCAGCCCAATGAATGGTCACCTGTCGACCCTCAGAGTAGCAAAGATAAATAAGAATTGACCGTTTTGTGTGATGGAGAGGGTTTCAGAAGAAAGCAACTCCATATCCTGTTATTGTTACTACTCTCCCTGGGGGAAGCAATCTGAAATATGTATCAATATGTCAAAGATGTAGCCCTTGAACAAAAAAGGGATCCCTAATATCCTGCCCTTGTAAGCTGTGCTTGCTAGCTCTCAGCAAACTCCTGCAGCTTCTGAACTTGCCCTGAGACATAAAGCAAAACCACATGCTACAAAGTGGGATGGGGCGCTGTCGCTGTGGGTCCAACCTGGTGCAGAAGTGCCCAGTCATGGGACTGACATCAGAGGAACCCCAGGGGCATAAGGATGGGGGGCGGGGGGAGTGGGCCACGGCGGGAGGGGAGGTACAGAATGTGACGCTGGGGTTCACACTCCCAGGTGAGCACATTCCATTTTTCCAACCAAGTGTGAAATGTCATCAGCTGAAAGCTGGGAACCGGGGCATTTAGAGAAGGAAGCACACAGTGTGAAGAGTTGTCTAGGAGGGCAAACCTGTTCAGAAACTGAGAAGGGGATCCCTGGGTGGCTCAGTGGTGGAGGATCTGCCTTCAGCCCAGGGCATGATCCCACGGTCCCAGGATCCAGTCCCACATCGGGCTCCTTTCATGGAGCCTCCTTCTCCCTCTGCCTCTCTTTCTCTCTGTGTGTGTGTGTGTGTGTGTCTCTCATGAATTAATAAAAAGAGAGAGAGAGAGAGAGAGAGAGAGAAGAAAGAAAGAAAGAAAGAAAGAAAGAAAGAAAGAAAGAAAGAAAGAAAGAAAGAAAGAAGAGAAGAGAAAGAAATTGAGCAGGACAGCTGGGCAGTTCTAAGCCTTTTCGGGGCTGATAGTCCTGAGCTGTGAGTGGCGCCCACCTGCCTGGGCATGAGTTGGACCAGAGAAGACCACAGAGACCCAACCCCGGCCATTATCTGGACAATGTAGCATTTGCAAACAAGAGGCAGCTGCAAATAAAAAGCAGTAAGGGAAGCACTAGCAACCTCACAGAGCCACGGTGAGGACAGGATGCCACAGAACTGGCCAGCAGTGTGCCGGTGCGAAACCTAAATCTGTGTCTGCCCTTCCTTTCCCTTCCCATCCCATTACCCTCCTCCAGCATGGAAGCTGAGAATCCTGGGTGGAAATGGGACCACCTCATCCCCCACCCCCCGGAGGGCAGCTGTCCAGTGGCAGTGGGGGAAGTTTCCAGCATCCCAACCTGCTCCTCAAAGTCCACCCCACCCCAACCTTCTTGCCCATTGCAGAGATTGGTGTGGGTACCACTGGCTTCGGCATCTTCTTCATCCTCTTTGGAATATTCCTGTACTTTGATTCGGTGCTCCTGGCCTTCGGAAACGTGAGTCCCCCAGCCTGCATACCTCCCCTCACCAACCTACCTGAGGTCTCTACTGCCTGGGAGGCCAGTCCCAAGTTCATTCAGATTGTGCCCATCCAGGGGTCAACAACATCAAGTCCAGGCAGGTGAGGGTGGCTGGGGACGGACAGTGAGGTGTGCTGGGCACAGAGAATCTGAGGATGTGGATTCTCTGGGAAGCTCTGGGTGAGGCCCCACAGGTATCAAGATGAATCGGCTGCCATCCCTGCCAATGGAATACCCTTATCTAGGGACAGGGACATAACATGAACAGACATGACCGGAAAGAAGGCAGGGGCAGCTATAAAGTCACAGTAAGATAAACACATCTCACATAAAACAAGCTGCCTGGGATCCCTGGGCGGCGCAGCGGTTTGGCGCCTGCCTTTGGCCCAGGGCGCGATCCTGGAGACCCGGGATCGAGTCCCACGTCGGGCTCCCGGTGCATGGAGCCTGCTTCTCCCTCTGCCTGTGTCTCTGCCTCTCTCTCTCTCTCTCTCTCTCTCTGTGAATATCATAATATAAATAAAAATTAAAAAAAAAAAACAAGCTGCCTGAAGGAGAGAAAGCATGCCCAGTTGGAGAAGGATGAAAAGGAATTTAGAAAATAAACGGGTGTGAAGGGGGATGAAGCCTTTCCAGGCAGATGGAACAGCAGGAGAAAAGGTATAGAGAAAGGGAGAGAAGGCATGGAACATGCTGGAAGGAAACCAGAGTGTTCCACCTACGCACTCCTGAGGGACCCTTAGGAGCCAAGCTGAAGACAGAGCCTGGGCCAGACAGTGGAGCCCCGATGGTTCCGTGTGACTCCGGGTATGGCTGCCTAACCTGTATACACCCCAGGGTTCACCTCTGTAAAATGGAGAGAATCCATCCATCCCGCCTTCCTTGTGAGGCGTGATGAGAAATGAAATCATGTTATGAAAAAGTGCTTGGGATCCAAGACGTTAGGTTGAATTGGGTGAGCAGCTGGGGAGCAGAGTTCTCCTTGTCCACCCCTATCTCTGGGAAGCTCTGCTCCTAACAAGCAGAAATTACCCAAGGCTCTGGGACTTTGCCACACTGTGGGGTCACCCTTTCTAGTGTGTCTCTCCTTGAAGAGTTAGAAAGTCCTGCCCCACGCCTGATGTGGGGCGCCAGGCCTGGCCCCCCAACCCCACGGCAGGTGCTGGCTTTGCTCTCATGCTTCTCTCCCTCCCTCCCCGCAGCTACTGTTCCTGACCGGCCTCTTGCTCATCATCGGCCTGAGGAAGACCTTTTCCTTCTTCTTCCAGAGGCACAAGCTCAAAGGGACCAGTTTCTTCTTGGGGGGTGTGGTCATCGTGCTTCTCCGCTGGCCCCTCCTGGGCATGTTACTGGAAACCTATGGATTTCTAAGCCTCTTCAAGTGAGTGCAGGTCTCCTTTCCCTGGATGAGCCCATCAGGGCCCCTGAGTAGCTGAGATCACCCCACTAGGTTTGGGCAGCACAACCCGCAGGGTGTGCAGAAGCTGGGACTTTATCCTGCAGATGGGAGCCATGGAAGGATTGAAAAGGCAAGTGGGACATCAGGCAGACCCTTAGAAAGACCCTTCCAAGAGCAGGATGAAGGACAAATCAGGGGACTCGGCCCATCCATCAGCAAACATTGAGCACCTGTGGGGTTACCTGGCACTGTGGCAGCCCCCAAAGAGGGGACACAGGGCCTGCCTTCAAGTTGACCAGCAGAGAGGAAGGACAGTGAACTAGCACTCCCCTGGCCACTCATGCCCCAAGGCCGTCTCTACAACCTACTGCTTGACTGCTCTCTATAGATAAGGACACCAGCTCAGAGGGGCTGTCCCCTGCCCAGGGTCTCACAAATAGTAAGCAGAGGATCTGGGATGGATGCAGGCATGCCTGGCTGCTGGCCCCACATGCCTCGGCCTGGCCGGTTGCAGCCTGGCCTGCTGAAAAGCTAATCAGAAGTCAGTGAAGATGTATGGCCACTGCCAGGGCCAGGAGGGATCTTAGAGGAAGCAGGACCCAAGACAGGCCCTGGGGACAGGCAGGCTTTCAGAGGAGACTGGAGGGTGTTTAAGGAAAAGAAAGGATGCTGGGGAAGGAGGGGCGAGGGAGGCAAGACTCCCAGTGTCTCTGGGGACGGGGATGATGGGGAGCTAGAAGTAGCATGGCTTGTGGAATCATGGGAAGGAGCTGGGGTCAGGACCCTCCATTTGTTCAGTGCAGCCTTGAAAAGACCTTGATTAGCCTGAATGCCCCAGACCTCCTAGACATCATGCAATGTGGCTTCAAGAAACTAAATCTTCTCACACAAGCTCTGCCATCCACTTATTTAATACTTAAAACTGTCATCATTCAGTCATTTATTCAGATAGTCAAAAACATAAAAAGTACCTACTGCATATGCCAAATGCAGAGCTAGGTGTAGGAATGTGGCGCTAAATAGGGAGAAACTTCCTGAGGAACTTGAAACCTAGCTGAGAAGACAAATTCTGGCAATAGTGACCATATATCAAGAGATTAGATGCATGAGTGCGGCCACTGTAGATTCAGTTGTTCAAACCAACAGCAAACCTAGACAACCCTGACAACAGCACCGTTGTCAAAAATCGCCAAAATCGGAGTTGTAAGGGAGGTCAGAGATGCCGGCGAACCTCAGGAAATGAAGCCCAAGGAAAGGATTCTCAGCCAGAATCCAAATTTCTAACCCTGTCGCCTGTCGCCTCTCCACACACGGGGCTCCCTCCGCGTGCCGACCTCAGTGGCTCCAAGCCCTTTGAAGGATCCCACGTATGTGCCTGGCAGGCCTTGCCAGGGTGTGTCTGATAAGCGTGGGGGTGCCAAGAGCACAGGGTGGCTGCGTGCACGGGGATGCCGAGGCGTGTGGGGAGCACAGCCCCTGAGACCTGCAGCAGGTGGTACACACCCAGTCCAGGGAGGCAGACTCCGTCAGAGCAACACAAGCAACAGCTCCCCCAGATTTCTTTACATAAGGCCCTATGATGTAGACACTATTATTATTATTAGCGTCATTTACAGCTGGAAGCTGAGATGCAGAGAAGCTAAGGCATTTGCCCAAGTTTATATGACACCAGTACGTGGTAGAGCCAAGATTTAAACCCAAGGAGCCTGGCGAGCCTGGCCCCAGTCCCTTTATTCTTAACCACTTCACATGATTGCCTCCCCAAAACCAGGGGTGCAGAACCAAGCCTGCTCCTGGTGTGCCCCAGGGGCCCGCCTTCTTGGGAACCAAAGCTGGAGCCTTTGGGTGCACCTCAGCCCAAATGCCCTCTCCCCTCTCCCCCGAGGCCATCGCTGACCCCTCTCCCCACCCTCTGCTCTTAGGGGCTTTTTCCCTGTCGTCTTCGGCTTCCTGGGCAATGCCTCTGACATCCCCTTCCTGAGTGCGGTAAGTGGATTTTGCATGTGGCTTGGTGGTGGCCTTGGGGTGGGGGGCCCCGCTGAGACGGCTGCCCCTGTGCTGCGGACCCTTCCCCATCTCCCCTCAAGCTCCTTTCCCCAGGCTGACCAGCTTGGGCTCCCCTTCCCCTCCCCCACACCCTCTCCTCCACTTGACAAGAGCAGATGAGGAGAGGGGATGTGGGAGCCTTGTGGCTGAGGCGTGGGTGTAGAGGGAAGTGGCTATTCATAGCTCCTTATTAGAGCCAAAGAAACAGAGTCAGAGAGCCTAGGTGGCCCAGCCAGAAAGTGCTAGAGGTTTCGGGGGAGCTGGCTGAGTCTGTGCCCCACGCACAGAGAGGATGTCTGACAGCCAGTGACAGCAGAAGCAGGTGCTTTGCTGTCCTTGGGGCAGGCGTGGGGCAGCCGTCCCCAGCCCTTACCCCTCCCTTTCCCTAAAGCATATTTTCTGACAGAATAGAGCACTTGGAGAAGCTCGAGAAGCTCGGGGAGGCCCTGCAGCCAGCTGGCTCATCCCCTGGCCCCCTCTCTCTGTCTGCACCGCCCCCAGCTCTGAGGGCCCGCTCCCCAACAACCCAGATAGATATGGAGTGTGCTCCTCACTCTTTGTCTAAAGTAATGATTCTTGGCTCCCACAGCTGTTCCGGAGGCTTCAGGGCACCAGCTCAATGGTCTGAACAGCAGGGATGAGCTCCTTGAACTTGGATCATTGGTCGAGGGGGCTGGAAAGGAAATGGGGGCCGCCCCCACCGTGCATTGACTCATCTCCCCCATCATACTCAGACCTCTCCAAGTCCAGACGGAAGGACAGAGTTAAATGACTGACCTCAGATCCCCAGGTCACCTCAAAAGGCTGTGGGCATGTTTGACAGCAGAGATGAGGTGGGGGGCAGGTGTGGACACCAAGACCAGACTGGGGCTGGTATCATACCCTGCCCTGTATTTATGGGAGGAAAGCAAAGATTAAATCCCCAAGCTGTGTGTCTGACACTCAAAGTCACTGTCTCTAGCCTCTTGAGTCTGGTCCCTGGCTCGGGGCGGGTGGACACAGCATCCCACGGAGTGAGGGGCAGGCCCGCTCTCGCAGGCTAGCATTTTTATCCTGGTGGTTAACGGTCTTAATGAGCGAGATAATATGTGTGTAAACCCTGTTAAGCCACGGGCATCAGACAAGTGATGGGCATCAAGCCTGCGTGCTGGTGGGAAACACTACTCAACCATTAATTAACCGGCTGTCTGCATAACACCCCGCCCCCAGGTAGCACCCATGTGAGAGAGCTCCCTGTCTGAAGGTGGAGACACAGCCCCTGCCTTCAAAGAGCCCAAGGCTGATGGAGGGGACATTCTCACTCCTGGGGAACCCCTCGGCCCAGGGTAAAGAGTGTTCTTGCAGGCCCAGGAAGGAGACGAGAGTGCCTTGCAGTGTACACATTTAGTAAACTTCTGTGTCTACACAAAGCACAGCAGTGGGTGCCAGAGGCACAAAGGAAAGCCCCGCGGCTGCCTTCCAAGCAAGGTCTGCAGAGATCGCAGAGCGGTGTGACCACGAGACGTGGCGGGGGCCCAGGAGCCCCAGTGTCAGGTGGTGCCGTACCTGAAAGTCAGTTCTGGGTTCTCTCTGCATTTCCCAGGTACACGCACCTTCTGGAGCCGCCACTTTATTTTGGTTCCCTGGCCCCTCCCCCCCAGGTCAGACCCGCCTTTCCCTCCCTTCCCACCGGGGTACTTGGGCCTCTTGTGGGGAGAGCAACAGCTCCCTCCCCCCCCCAATAGTCCATTGTCCTGTCCTGTGGGGCAGGAGGGGTCTCCAGCTAAGTGGGTCTGCGGTGAGGGGGTGAGGAGGATGGAAAGACGACAGGTGGGAATCAGAAAACCAGCCCTGAGGGGGTTCTGGAGGGAGAGAAAGAGGCTTATTTCAGTCCTGAGAGCCAGGCGGTGGGAGGCAGGCAAGGCTGTGCTCTCCGAGGGGCCTGAGGGGGAGGAGGAGGAGGGGTGGGCCTGTGCCTGGAGGCGTCACCCTTGGGCTCTATAAGAGGGACGCCATCAGACCACTGGCGAGCCCAGCTCCCCTGTCTGTGGGTGTTCACCGACCCCAGGAGCACCTGGAGACCCCACGGAGCTCTGACCCCGCTGGACAGAGCCAAGGTAGGTGCATGGGGGCACCCACACATGGAGGGGGGTCTGCCCAGCCCCAGGGAGGCTCCCTGCACGGGAGCTGGAATTTAGTTCTAAGACTGACAGACACATCCTGGGTAGGCAAAGGGGGTGCTGATCCTTCCTGATTATTGGGTTGGCCAGATTAATCTGGGATGTCTCAGTGGATAGCCTGACTGGCATCTATCAAACCAGGACCTTGGGGATCCCTTACTGTGGAAGGAATAAAGGCAGTGAGTGAGCTCTGGCTGGGATTAGAGGCACGGGAGCTTCTGGAGGGAGCTGGGGAGCCCTCAGGGCTCAGGGGCTCCACAGGACTCCTCTGAGGAGTTCCCCCAACTTCTAGACGGCAAGTACAAACCTAACAGAAGAGCCTCTACACACTAGCCCCCCCCCCCCAAAGACTGGGAGGTGCCCCAGGAAGGAAGCCGCCTCCCTTCAAACCTTTCCCGCCACACCTGGAATCTATTACTCGCTAGGTATAAAGCCTGGGCCGGGAGCCCAAGAATTGGCCACAGCAGACCAGCCTCTCTGAAAGTTGATGGTTCTTTCCCAAACAGTTCAACTCTATCACGTGTGCTAGATGCTTCTGTGCTAGAAAGTAAACTAAGACTTGGGGGGATGGGTGTGTGTGTGGGTTCTCACCTGGCACGGTGGTGAAGTGCTACCTCTGAGGAGGAGGTGCTATGGGTGGGAGGAGCTTGGAAGGACCCTAACCTTGAACCGCACAGCCTGCCCACCCCACCCTCGCCCCCACCACCTGCTCCCGCAGAGCAGCCGCGATGCTCCATCTGCCATACAACATACAATCCCCCCTGGGCTCGGCCTACTCTGGCGTGAAGGACTCCTCCGGCCTCACTGCTCTCTCTCTCTCCAGCCAAGCTCTGCCCTCCCGGCAGCCTGCGGGGCCCGTGGGTCCCCTCCACGCCCAGCCCCTGTTGGAAACGCCTTCCTAACCCTTGTGTTCCTGCGGCTGACCAGTGCTCAGAAACTCAGCTCAAACCCACCTGTCCCCGCTCCAGGATGAGCTCCCTGGGTACCCGCACACCTCCAGCCGATCATTGACCGTGTTACCTTGAAATGCTCAGCTAAGACGACTCGATTTCTTGAGCTACATCTTGGGGAGGGGCTGGGAACAAGCAACGCTGTGTCCTAGTAGCCCGTGCCCCCTAGCGCCTAGCACAGCTCCTAGCTGGCGCTGGGATCAGGAATGATCTCCGAACTAACCTGGAGCCTGCGCTCCCACGGTTTGAAGCCACAAAACAAATGGTTTCACACTGCTCCAACAGACTGAGCCTGCCTTTCCTCTTTAAGTGCAGAAAGCCTTGTCTGGGTTTCAGTGTCACAGAATCAAAGTCTGTAAGGAAAAGAGACTATCTGAGGGCATAGTCGGTGGCCAGTCTGACACAACGCTCTGGTTTCACAGAGGAGCAATATGATCCAGAGATGGGGGTGACTTTCTCACATCCCACAGGGAGGGGACCAGAGCTGGGGCCAGATTTGAGTGTTCTTGATCCTATTTTGGCAGTCTCCTTCTCTGCCCCGTGCCCAGGTCCTGGAGAGGAATGGTGGTAGGGGCAAGAACAAAGATATGGACAGGGCTGAGCAATCATTAGCAGCTGATGGGCATCCATGAGAGCCCCACCCCCCCCTCCCCCGCTTGCCCCCCTGGACCACAGTGGCTCTGGCCCGCATCCTTTTTGTCCAGCCGTTGGACCTGCCTCCCCATCAGTTGGTCTTTACTCATGTTTGTTGGACAATCTCAAAGTGCCTGATGACTTTTTTCGAAGAGAAATTCAACTTGGGAGGCAGCTGGGGTGGGGGCGGGGCCCAAGAGGGAAGGCAAAGGGGATGTAGTGGGAGTCAGGGTAAGCAGCTCCCATGGCAGCAGCCCAAAGCAGGAGGTCGATCCAATCTTCTTGGAGCCCACGCTGAATAGAACAAGGAGACAACTGACCGGATAAATCAGGGAAAGTTTTTTCTCTTCCTTGTATTACAGACAATAAGAGAATTTAACGACAGTCCTCAAGGGTTATGAAAAAGAACACGATGATTGCCTCTTTTTTCCTTTTTTCTTGAAATAGGAAAGGATTGAAGTGTCTGTTGCAGCAGGAGGGAGCTGGGCCAGGTTCAGGAAGGTGCGGTCTAACAGGTCACTGAAGTCCAGGATATGTACAGGGCCCAGCATGGAGCTCCCAGCGCCGCCTCCCCCCCCCCCGCCCCCGCCCCGAAAATATCCGGACCTCAGGGCACTTGCCCAGTGGAACGCCTTGCCCTGCTTGCCTTCACTCCCTCCTCCTCACTGCCACACACTGCCCCCCACTCGGGCGCTTTCCTCTCCATGCTGGGCTCTGCCCCAGCCCACACCATGCACCTGACTTAATTCTCTCTCCCTCCGTCTCAGCCTCAGGACACCGCCAGCACCTGCATCATCTCACCAGGATGAACTCACTGGTTTCTTGGCAGCTAATGCTTCTCCTCTGTGCCACTTCCTTCAGGGAGACATTAGAAAAGGTGGCACCCATGGAGACTCCAGGACCTGCAGGTATGCATTGTCTGGGGAGAGGATGGGAGGGAGCACGTGAGTTGTTAGAAAATGAGGGTTACCGTATTTTTCAAAGTGAGGCTAGTCTGTTGATGTGAGTTTAACACTGACTGCATTTAAGGCTAGCACATGCAACTTATTTAGGGGCCCCATTAATCTTGCAGGTAAGGGATGGTTTACTTACTGCTCCTTATGGACATCAGTGAGCCCACCTAGGTTTAGGTGCTTGTTAACCTAAACCTTCGTGGCTCCTTCGTGGTCTTCTCACACTGTGTTTTCTCTGCTCTACGCCAACCACCTGTCTGAGCAGACCCCTTGGGAAGGAATTTATAATTATTTTTTTTATTTCTTTATGATAGTCACAGAGAGAGAGAGAGAGAGAGAGAGGCAGAGACACAGGCAGAGGGAGAAGCAGGCTCCATGCACCGGGAGCCCGACGTGGGATTCGATCCCGGGTCTCCAGGATCGCGCCCTGGACCAAAGGCAGGCGCCAAACCGCTGCGCCACCCAGGGATCCCGGGAAGGAATTTACTATGCACGTTTCTTTTATCAGTAATCTCAGACCCTTTCTGGGGAAATTGAAAAAAAAAAAAAAAAAGACCTAAACAAAAGGGCAGATCCTAGGCAAACTAGCTTGTAGCTTAGCCTCTCTGGCCCACAGTTCCTCTAGGTATGCAACTCGGAGCATACCCTCTACACATAGGAATCGTCAAGCCCATAAGCTATCCCAGAGCAAAGAGAATACACACACCCCCCTCGTCATCCCTCCCTGGCCCTAAGCAGGCTGGAGGGACATTCTAGGAGATTAGCAATAATTCTGAACCATGCCCACACTCCTCCAAAGTATGCCAAGGCCCTAAGGGGCAGGCTCAAAGCCAACTACCCCCCCAACACACACCCACTCACACACCAGGCCTCATTTCCACTAATCTCGTGCCACAATTGGCTGGGGTTCTTGTCTACTCAGAGCTAGTTGCACTATTTTACTGCCAAAAATTATAGTGAATTTAACAAGCCTTTTGCATACGAAGTGCCTTCCAAATTAGTCTTGTTAGCCCCCAGCGGGAAGGGAAGAGATTATACCTACAGTGGGGAGGTGAGCAGGTTAGGGTGACCCAGGTCATTTCCTATTCTTCACCGAGTCCTTTTGTAGCTTGTTAGGGGCCACAGTCATTGTGGCCGGGTGTGGGGCACAGTGTTCCTAGTTCTATTCTCGTTTCTGTAGCTACAAGCTTTTCATCTGGTTTGATGTATTTAATAAGCACTCGAGGCCCTACTACATCCAGGTCACTGTTTCAAGAACTCCGAGATAGAGCTGCGTGAACGTGGCTCTCACCCGCCCCAAGGAGCGCAGGCCCGTGGGGGAGCCTGATGCAGAGAGGACGGGACAGGCAAGGAGCCAGGAAGAGCAGTAAAGCCGAGTGTCCCGCAAATACTGCAGGCTTATCTCCAACCTCTGCCCTGCTCGCTTCCAAAAGGGAAGTCATTCCACAGAAAAGATATTTCAGATCATCCTGGAGAAGCTTTGAAACCAAAGCTATGTTGAAAGAGAGAGGAGCCAATGACCTCACCACCTGGGCCAGGATGCTCCCGCGGGTGGTGCGGGGCCTGGGGCCCTGTGCCCTCCGGGTCAAGGCAGGACGGAGAAGGATGTGAGCAGACGTTCCTGAGCCTTCCCCGGGTGCCGCCTCACCGCAGCCTCTCTGTGTGGCTCTCCCCTAGGCCAGCGGCTCGGACCCCAGGCCCTCCCGGCCCCGGCCCCGGCCAGGCCCAGGCCCCGGGCTCCGCTCCCACGGGGAGCCCACGGGGGACCTCGCTGTGCCCGCCTCCCGGGAACCCCGCAGGGCCCCAGCACCCAGGCCTGCGCGCCCCCCAGCGCTGCCTGATGCCCGCCCCCCGGGGCGCGGTGCCAGGGCGGGGGGACCTGCCCACCTACAACTGGAACGTCTTCGGCCTGCGCTACGGCAGGCGGCGGGCCACGACCCCGGGGCTGCGCGGGTGAACCCCAGACCCCAGGCTCGGGATCCCGGTGGGCAGGGGCCTGGGGCTGCGGTCCTGAAGAGAAATAAAGGTGATGCTGCGACACACCCTGGGTGCGATTTGTGGCTGATTTTTGCAAGCAGCACAGATGAGATCGCTTTCATTCTACCCTCTTTTGGATCTTTCCATGGCTTTAAAATGGCTTTTAGTGTCATCAAGCAGAGGTAACAGCGCTTCTCGAACTAGCCCTGTGCTGGGATGCCTGCGTGGCTCAGCCCGTGGGCCTCTGCACTCCGCCCAGGTTGTGATCCCAGGGTCCTAGCATCCAGCCCTGCGTGGGCCTCCCTCTGCCACTCACGCACTCTCAAATAAATACAGTCTCAAACTAGAGATGTGAAGGACCCGGTTGTTTTTCCCCCAGTCTGGGGCAAATCAATTCTTACAAACGCACATACAATCACTAAAACATTGAAAATTTTTAAAATGACTAAAGTGAAACCCAAACTGGATGCTGCTCTGGTGTCTCAGCAATGTCGAATTTCTATTAAAATTTCATTTTTAAAAAAGGATTGCATTTATTTATCCGAGAGAACGAGAGAAATCATGAGCAGGGGGGAAGGGCAGAGGGAGAAGCAGACTCCCCGCCCAGCAGGGAACCTAAAGGCATTCCATCCCAGGAACCCAGGATCCTAATCCGAGGGGATGCCTAGGACTGAGCCACCCAGGCGCCCTCTATTAAAATTTCTGAAGCTGTTCTCTTAATTCCTAGGCTTCTCTCATTGCCCACAGCCTACAACATTTTGCAGACGGGCATGAGCCGCGGCGCATGCTCTGAGTAGCGCTGATCTAGGCCCGGGGGAGACAGCTTCAGTACCCTTCCCTTTCCTCGGGAAGCTTACGGCCAGTTGGACAGCTTGATCTAGAATTCAATGCCAACCTCTGCCCTGTCCACTGAAGTTTAAGGATCACGGAAGCCCCACAGTCAGACTTCTGCTAGGGCGCTCAGACCCAAGGCCCTGATGCATGCAAGGGGTGTCAGCAGTGGCCGGGTCATCCATCCCCCTGTCCCAGGGAAAGCCCTGAATGGGTCCAATTCCTTACTTATCTGCATCCTTGAAATCACCCAGAGGGCTGGGCATGTCGAGGCCCCATTTTCACAGGTGAGAGCCCTGAGCGATCCATAACTCCCTGAAGACACACAGCCACGAATCGTAAGCCTAATGAGTGACACCAGCACCTGGCTCCCCCACTTCACTGTCACCCCTGAGAGGGAAGGGTTCCATCTGAGTCAGCCATGCTGGAAGTCAGGAAAGATCAGTCTGCCTTGTGGGGCGTTCTTGGAGACCCCCAATAGCTGGGGAGTTGATTGCTGTAGCAAGTAGAGGCTTGTCGGTAGGGAAGCAGAGTAAATCCACCCCTCTGCCCACAGGAAAAGCCAGCCCTATTTGGCAGCCTGCAGCTACTCCTACCCTGCTTGGTCTAGGATGGAAATGTTCTTTCCCAGAAGGATTATGGGGCCACCGCCATCCCGTGAAGTGCCACAGCATTCCACCCATTACAGAAACCAAGACTCGGCTGAATGGAGGCCAGACGTGTTGCTATGGCAACGAGATGGGCTGCCATGGGAACCGGACAACGTGCCCCACCCCCATCTCTACCCTGAAGCCGTCTTCCAGGATCTTTCCAATTATCGCTACTACTGTGAGCTCATGTCAAAGCATGGCATGACCGGGGGCTGCTGTTGGTATTTGGAAGGTACTTCCTCTCCCAAACAGCCTAGGGTTCGGCTCTGTGCCTCTGAGAGAGGAGTCAAACTCCATACCTATTTGATAAGTGAGTTATTCTACTCCCCGAACCCAATCCTTTCCCTGATGAAGACTGTGGCTGGGAAGAGGATGAGGGGTCTCTGAAATGTGCTCTTAGGCAGCCCAGTTTTACAAAATTCCCTGCGAAATTCCCTCCAAATCCTTCCTCACAGCCTTGAGTTTAGGCAGATGGAAGATAGGAGTACGTGCGTGCGTGTGTGTGCGTGCACATGAGGACAGGGTTCTTCTAAAAAGCAAGCCTGTCTGTGTGAGAGAGGGCATGTGTAGGAGGAGGAAGTATGAGACACTGTGGGATGGTCACACCCATGTGTCTGTGTGACCCTGTGTGTGCACGGGTCCCTCTAACTACATTTCAGGATTTATCAGCCCCCACTGCTACCCAAGTGCCCTCCAGGATGTCTGTTCTAGTTGATCTAGAGGACCTGCTTCAGCAGGCAGCAGGAGGGAGGCTGGGTCCCATGCTTCTTGCCGCCCCAGGAAGATGCCAGGCTTTACAGCTCTTGGCTCTATATCTTGGGAAAAAGGATCTTTGGTTTCATGGGGTTCCCAGCCTGACTGCCCCCTAGATTGGAGAGAAGGTTCAGGGCAGGCTGGAGGCTGTGAGGGGCTAGAAACATTCCTGGACCCGGGGGGCTCCTATTTGCCTATCCAGACTTTCTGGGTGAGCTCAGGTACCTAGGACACGGGAGTCCAGAGACACAGAGGTAAGGCTGCCTAGGGACACTCAGACCCACTCCTTCCTGCAATCTCTGGACAGTCCCCAGGGGATGAATAATCCTAATCTGGAAGGCCTGGGTATCCCTCACTTGAGGAAGGGAATGCAGGAGGGTCTCTTCCCAAACCCCACCCCTTTGGGGGAGTCTGTTAGAATAGCAGGCAGTTGGTCTCACACCCTGGTGGAACAGAATAGGGGGGCAGGGACATTCTTGCCTCTAGGACTACTCTTAATATACTGACGTGAAGTACAGGAGTATCCGCAGTGTGCTAAACTGCCCCACTTCATCCTCACAGCAGCTGCAGGAGGTGAGCAATATCATCCCCATTGGGCAAGAGGAAAATTGAGGCTGGGGGAGGATGAGTGGCATGTCCAAGGTCACACAGCAAAAAAGTTCCAGAGCCAAGGCCGGCCCCCTCCAGTTTCACTCCAAACACCACAGTCTTCCTACCCTCCCCCCCCCCCCCCCGCACGGTCTTTTTTCCCTTCTCTCTGGCCCTACCGTGTGTCAGGCTACCCTACCCCTTTTCCTGAAGGATTTATCCTAGGAAGTACATCTGGCAGCCAGGGTAGTTCCAGGCCAATCCTTCTCCAGTCTGCTTCGATAGGCACACAGGCGAGGTTGCCGGTGCCCAAGCAGGCCTCCCCACCTCCAAACTCCTGTCAAGGGCCGACCATCTGAATCTTGCCCATTTGCTCTCTCTGGAAGCAGCCTCCCCAGTCCAGACTTGGTCACAGGGAGTAAAGGGTGGCCCGGCCTTCCTCATCTTCTGTGGCCACTTCCATTTTAGAGCCGCGCCAGAGCCCAGAGTGTCTCCAGCAGGGATGGGGGCTGGGGTCAGGACATACAGCCCCAGGTTCACCACCTTCTCAGGTTTTTGTTTTTTTTTTAATTATTTTTATTTATTTATGACAGTCACACACAGAGAGAGAGAGGCAGAGACACAGGCAGAGGGAGAAGCAGGCTCCATGCACCGGGAGCCCGACGTGGGATTCGATCCCGGGTCTCCAGGATCGCGCCCTGGGCCAAGGCAGGCGCCAAACCGCTGCGCCACCCAGGGATCCCACCTTCTCAGGTTTTGTTTGATCCTGTTTTCTCCAGAGCTGTCCGATATTGTCTTAACAACTGTCCTTTCAGTGTGTTACCTTTACAAAATGTTAGAAAGGATCGCTTTTGATAATGGCTGGCTGCTTACTCCCAAAGCCCCTGAAAAACACCAAAGGAGCAGAGAAACATGAATTCTCAAGGACAAAGAGAAGGGAGAGGAAGCCACAACAGATGAGAAAGGACAAGCAGATTTTGAAGACAAAAATTAGGCAAAGGGCTTGGCAGAATGAGGGAGACTATAGCCTCAAAGCCAGCAAAGGGGGTTCCTGATGCACGCCAGGGCAGTCTCAGGCCTGGGAGGTCCTGGGGTGAATCCTGGACTAGAATGGCAGGGGGAGGGGGGTGCTGGCTGGAAATCAGCACATGGAAAACCAAGACTTCCCACGTCCAAGACTTCCCACGTCCAAGACTTCCCACGTCCCCTCTCCGCAGCCCACGCAGCCAGGCTACCTACACCCTGGGAAGGGACTAGAGTTTCATCTCTTAAGGACACAGTGGAGACCTCGAGTCACGGTGACACAGGCACAATGAGGATGGAGTTGAAGAGAGTAGCTATGAAGAGAGGGTCTGTGTGACAGTCTTCATAAGTTTGTCTATCCAGCCCCATCCCAAATCTCTTTCCCCAGATGTAGGTAACAGGAGTCCCCTCCCCATAGAGAAGGCCTCAGATACTGATATTGGACATGCCTGTCTTTGTCCACCTGGGCTGCTCTAACAAAATGCTAGAGACTGGGTGGCTTGGCTTATAAACAAGAGAAATTTGGGGCGCATGGGTGGCTCAGTCAGTTAAGCGGCAGCTTTTGGCTCAGGTCACCATCCCGGGGTCCTGGATCAAACCCTTGCATTGGGCTTCCTGCTCAGCAGGGAGCCTGCTTCTCCCTCTCCCTCTGCCTCCTGCTCCCCTTACTTGTGCTCTCTGTCAAATAAACAAAATCTTTAAAAATAAAATAAAGTGGGGTACACCAGTATGAGCCTACTGTGCATACTGAATTTCTAGGGCACTCCAATCTGGATGGAGGCCAAACCAAAAGCAAAACAGAGGAAAAAAATTTTTTTAAAAAACCCCAAACCACCTAGTCTGTAATTAATATCCTCAGGGGGCATAAGAGAAATCTGTATCCATGAAACAAGTCGTGGATGCAATTAACAAAGGAATAGTCAAGGATCAGAAAAGGCCCTTGGAAGTAAAAAATATGGGAGAAAAAAATGTGTAGGGAAATTGAAGAGCAGGAACGTAAAGTTAAGGAAATGTCCTAGAAGGTAGAACAAAAAGAACTCAGGGGAGGGGCACCTGGCCGGCTTGGGAGGAAGAGCATGCAACTCTTGATCGATCCTGGAGCTGTAAATTCGAGCCCCACGATGGGTGTAGAGAT